GGTGGCGATAGAGGCAAGACGATGAGGAAAATGCAATTCTTTGAGTCCAGCAGCGATAGGTGGAAGAGGCACTGCAAAGAGAGCTGAAAGCAGAAGGAAACGTCGCCTTGTCGGGAAAGGACGGAAACGGATTACAGGGGAGAAGAGCTGCTCTCATAATTACAAAAAGGCAATAGTGGAGGAGAAATCATTTCCCGTCTCGCACCACAGCTGAGCGGCTGCCGCGGCTCGGCAAAGGGGCCTGTGTTCAGATCAGATTGGGCCTGGCTGGCGCAATGGCGAATCGCTCCAGGACAAGGCAAGTTCTCTCTTTCGCTCTGTGTCTGTGGGTTTCCCTTGCGGAGGGCGGGACGAGCCGCTATTCTGTGCCGGAGGAGAAGAAAAGCGGGTCGCTAGTTGCTAATATAGCAAAGGATTTGAATGTGGCCGTAGGGACCTTGTCTGCTCGCAGGGCGCGGCTGGTTTCTAAAAGCACCAGGCAGTATTTTGAGCTGAACGCGCGGTCCGGGGATGTGAGAATAAAGGAGAAAATAGACCGGGAGGAGCTGTGCGGACAGAGTGACCCGTGTGTGCTGCAATTCGAAATTGTGCTGGAAAACCCACTGCAGCTGTACCGAGTGGAGGTGCAGATCGAAGATGTGAATGACAATTCCCCGAAATTCTCCAAGAGTGAATTCGGTTTACAAATACCAGAACAGGTCCCCGTCAACACCCGCTTCCCTTTGGAAGAAGCCGAAGATGCAGACATAGGAACAAACGGCATCCAGAGCTACGCAATCAGCTCTAATGAGCATTTCCGTCTGGATGTGCAAACCCACAGCGACGGCAGCAAATACGCGGAGCTTGTGCTCGAGAAACAATTAGATCGCGAGGCGCAGGCGCAGTTGATGCTGATTCTCACCGCTGCAGATGGGGGCCGCCCACAGAGAACCGGCACAGCCCAAATACGCGTCAGTGTGCTGGATAACAACGATAACTTCCCCCAGTTCAGCCAGTCCGTGTACAGGGCGCAGTTACCGGAGAACAGTCCTAGAGGTACCTTGGTCACCAGGGTGGAGGCCAGTGATTTGGATGAAGGCTCAAATGCAGAAATCAGCTATTCCTACGGGCAAGTGCCTGAGAGAGTCCTCGAGTTATTTCAGCTCAATCCGTCCACCGGGGAAATCACTGTGCTGGGGACAATTGATTATGAACAAACGACAAAGTATGAAATAGAATTTCGGGCCAAGGATGGGGGCGGGTTGTCTGCGCACTGCAAAGTGCTGGTGGAGATCGAGGACATGAATGACAACGCCCCGGAGGTGACGCTGACGTCCCTCAGCAGCACCATCCCCGAGGACTCCGCCCCGGGCACCGTGGTGGCCTTGTTCAGTGTGAGAGACCGGGACTCCGGGGACAACGGCAGAGCAGCCTGCTCCATTCCGGGCAATGTCCCTTTCGCTTTGAAATCGACTGTGCAGAACTATTACGAGCTTGTCACACGGGGGCCCCTGGACCGCGAGGCGGTGGCCGAGTATAACATCAGCATCACAGCCACGGACCGGGGCGCTCCCCGGCTCGCCTCGGAGAGGGTGATCCGCGTGCAGCTGTCGGATGTCAATGACAACCCGCCGGTGTTTACCGAGCCGTCCTACGTCATGTACCTGAAGGAGAACAACCTCCCGGGGCTCTTGATCGGCTCTGTCCACGCTGCGGACCTGGACACCGAGCAGAATGCCAAAGTGACGTACTCGGCGTTGCCTGGCGACGTGGGCGACCTCCCCTTCTCCTCCTACGTCTCCATAAACTCCGACAGCGGCCACGTGTACGCGCTGCGATCCATGGATTATGAGCGAACGAGGGATTTCGAGGTGCGGGTGCGCGCTGCGGATGGCGGGTCCCCCCCGCTGAGCTCTGAAGCCACCGTCCGGGTTGTGATCTTGGACGAAAACGACAACGCGCCCTTCCTGTTATACCCTCTGCAGAACAGCAGCTCCCCCGCCAGTGAGCTGGTGCCCCGCTCGGCGGGGCCGGGTTACCTGGTGACGAAGGTGGTGGCCGTGGACGGAGACTCGGGCCAGAATTCTTGGCTTTCCTACCAGCTGCTGAGAGCCACGGACCCCGGTCTCTTCACGGTCGGTCTCCAGAGCGGGGAAGTGAGAACCAGCAGGCCGGTAACGAGCCCGGACTCTGTGAAACAGAAACTGCTCGTGCTGGTGAGAGACAACGGCGACCCGCCCAGATCCACCACCTCCACGCTGAACGTGCTCCTGGTGGACGGGTTTTCGGAGGCCCACCTGCAGCTCGTGGATGTGCCCCAAGAGGAGGGGCAGCAGGACACGTTAACCCTGTATCTCGTCATTGCTTTGTCTTGCATTTCGTTCCTTTTCCTGCTGTCCGTGGTGACAGTGATCGCCACCCGGCTGTACAAGGCGAGGCAGGGCCAAGAGCGGTACATGGCATCGTCCAGGAACTTCTATTGTGAGCCCAGCTTCCCCACAAACCCCGCGGACACGAGTGGCGCCGGGACTCTGCCTCAGTCTTATTGTTACGAGGTTTGCTTGACCACGGGCTCTGGCACCAGCGAATTTAAGTATCTCCGGCCGCTGCTACCGACCGTGCCCGCTGAGCCCAGAACTGCAGGAGGGTCCCTTCTCGACTCTCAGCTTAGCTCCCAGCTGAAGGAGGGGAAGGAATCTGTGTGCGAGGTGAGTGCTCATGTTACTCCTTGTACATTAATCTCTTCTTTGAAAATTTGTGATACTCTGGAAACTATTTCAAAAGAGTCGGAACCATTTATGTGGAGGGCTGCCCTCTCTCGTTCTAGGAATAGAGCCCGGGAAGGGAGAGCGCATGGCCGGAGGTGAAGGACATGAGGGACTTCAGTGCTGTGCAGCTCTGATGGCTCATGGGCGTCTTCCTCTCCCTGCCCCATAGGTTCTTAGGCCTCCGCGTGAACTGAGAGAGCCTGCCAGCATGTTCTTGACCCACAATGTCACTGTCTGTTTCCCTGGCAAGCTCCCTGTAACGCGTTCTCCACGTTCCCCCTCCTACATAGGCTTCGGTCGAAGAGAAGTGGCAATCCGATAGGATACCAGTGAGCAGATGAGGCTGAGAAACCTGCATAATATGTTACCGCACCTGTCCTTGCTGTACTGCCAGCCATTCTGAAACACCCTTCAGCTGTTGTACAGTGTTATGGTTCCCCCTAGTGAAGTGCTCTCTGTGTCTAGGTAAGGACTAGGAGCGTGGTTGTGTTCTGCTCACATAAGGAGCCTAGTGTGCACATGCAGTGTGAGTTTACTTGTAGTATCATAACTTTTTTCACAATACTTTGTAGTGTAGCTAAGGCCTAAGTTTATTTCCTCAAGTATCGCGTTATATTTATGTAGGGATCTTTTCCTATAGTTTTTACATCTTTCTCACTTATATGATTTTCAAGCTAATAAATTTATACATAACTTTTCTTTATGTGCTTTCTCCTCTCAAAGACCACTAGCAATCTATGCCGAATGTATCCTCTTTATAAAGGAAGGTTGAACCTTCTCAATGGAAAATCAAAGAAGTAATTGTTTCTGTATTAAAAAACACCATGATAGGGAAACTGTGTGACCTAAAGCCCTCTGCAGAACACACTACGGCATGCGAAATGTTACAAAGAATCTGAATCTATCCTTGCTTCTTCAGTAGTGTTTACCGATGCTAATTAGGAATATATGTGAGTTGCAGGGCTACTGCATGAATGTGGAACGAGGGAGATTAGGAAACACTAAAGTAAAATACAAATATCTTATGAAAATGTCAGCTGCGCTTTACATGTCCATCAAACCCTTTACCAAGTGAAAGGCTAACAGTAGTTGAGGTTTTGATGAGGAAGGTGCTCATAGGAGGAAGAGGCAATGTTTATTTTCATCCTATGAACTCACCATCATTTTACAGCTTGTAGAGTTTATGAACCCATTCCAATCAACACTTATGAGAAAGTAGCTAGTTAGTTACATGCATACCAGTGATATAGAGGCACCCGATGGCATCAAGAAGATGTTTTATTCAACAAGTCATTGTCAGCGGTTTTTGATGAACATGACAACGGCCTCTTCGTTTTGTACCATCTTCAGACCTTCACCTCTCCACTTAATAACATGATTGGCATAGCAAAGAAACCCGAATACCGTTGTGACCAAGATGATGGCTGTAAATGGAGATTCTGGTCTCAATTTTTGACATTCTAACCAGTTGTTTCAGATCACTGATACAGATCTGTTAATTGATGTACTGAAAATTTGGAAGAAAAGTCACGAAGCCCATTACGGGCATGCTCCTTTAGACAAAAGCTAAAATTTGTGAAAGAGAATGGTTACAGCCCCAATACGCTATTGAGATTCTAAATTAACTAGTTTTGCGTTGGTTTTCTAGTGCGCGTACATAATTTAGCGACCTAGATACAGAAGAGGAATACGATGGGATGTTACCTATATACTTAGTAATTTCTTTTATATTAATTTCGGTGGGATTGTTGTTTGTTTCTTTTTGGACCGTATTGCTATAAAATATATGAGAAAAATAGAAAGTTACTGACCTGCTTCTTTCAGAGGAAAAGAGGACCCAGTTTCTCGAATAAGTGTATAGAGGCCAGGACAGGAATCCCTGCTAGCAACTACATATATGATGTTGGCGTAACCACTAGGTCTATCACTAGTTACATGTATTCTATTAGCCCCCCAATTTCCCAGTTTTCCTTTTGAGCAGCCTAATAAGGAAGGGATACAGAAGATTCAGGATTTACAAGCTATCATTGACCTCGTGGACAAAAGAGAAGCCGGTTGTAGAGGGAATCCACTTCTAGTGATTTGCATTATTAATGTACTGTGCAGAATAAAGCTGTTGGGAGGTGAGGGAAGAAAATGGGATATTTGCGGATTACCATTCATATTAATATTAAATAATTTTGAAACTCTCTTCTCGAAACAGTAATAATCTTCCTTCATATTTCACAATTCGTACCATGCAATTTTATGACCACAATTTCTACAGTTTACGGAAAGTTTTGTCATGCAGATAACAGCGCGAAATACATTTACACTGTAAAATACTGGTCAGCCTTGTTTTGGCAGAGCCACAAGGTGGCGCTATTGCCAAGGAAGGTGCTACGACTTCAGCTTTTACGAGTCCATCAGCGCTCAGTGGGGAGCTGCGCTCAGACGTCTGAATGCCCCGGGAGGCAGCGGCTGTGCGCCGGGAACGGGTGACAAAGGATTATTACAGGGAAGCGCGGCTGGAATCGCTACACACAGAGTCAGTCTTGAGGAGAAATCGTTTCCCGTCTAGCACAAGTAGAGAAGCTGCCGCAGCTTGACAGGGGGGCCTGTGTTCAGATCTGACTGGGCCTGGCTGGCGCAATGGCGAATCTCTTCAGGACAAGGCAAGTTCTCTCTCTCGCTCTGTGTCTGTGGGTGTACCTGGCGGAGGGCGGGACGAGCCGCTATTCTGTGCCGGAGGAGAAGAAAAGCGGGTCGCTAGTTGCTAATATCGCAAAGGATTTGAATGTGGCCGTAGGGACCTTGTCTGCTCGCAGGGCGCGGCTGGTTTCTAAAAGCACCAGGCAGTATTTTGAGCTGAACGCGCGGTCCGGGGATGTGAGAATAAAGGAGAAAATAGACCGGGAGGAGCTGTGCGGACAGAGTGACCCGTGTGTGCTGCAATTCGAAATTGTGCTGGAAAACCCACTGCAGCTGTACCCAGTGGAGGTGCAGATCGAAGATGTGAATGACAATTCCCCGAAATTCTCCAAGAGTGAATTCGGTTTACAAATACCAGAACAGATCCCCGTAAACACCCGCTTCCCTTTGGAAGGAGCCGAAGATGCAGACATAGGAACAAACGGCATCCAGAGCTACGCAATCAGCTCTAATGAGCATTTCCGTCTGGATGTGCAAACCCACAGCGACGGCAGCAAATACGCGGAGCTTGTGCTCGAGAAACAATTAGATCGCGAGGCGCAGGCGCAGTTGATGCTGATTCTCACCGCTGCAGATGGGGGCCGCCCACAGAGAACCGGCACAGCCCAAATACGCGTCAGTGTGCTGGATGTTAACGATAACTTCCCCCAGTTCAGCCAGTCCGTGTACAGGGCGCAGTTACCGGAGAACAGTCCTAGAGGTACCTTGGTCACCAGGGTGGAGGCCAGTGATTTGGATGAAGGCTCAAATGCAGAAATCAGCTATTCCTACGGGCAAGTGCCTGAGAGAGTCCTCGAGTTATTTCAGCTCAATCCGTCCACCGGGGAAATCACTGTGCTGGGGACAATTGATTATGAACAAACGACAAAGTATGAAATAGAATTTCGGGCCAAGGATGGGGGCGGGTTGTCTGCGCACTGCAAAGTGCTGGTGGAGATCGAGGACATGAATGACAACGCCCCGGAGGTGACGCTGACGTCCCTCAGCAGCACCATCCCCGAGGACTCCGCCCCGGGCACCGTGGTGGCCTTGTTCAGTGTGAGAGACCGGGACTCCGGGGACAACGGCAGAGCAGCCTGCTCCATTCCGGGCAATGTCCCTTTCGCTTTGAAATCGACTGTGCAGAACTATTACGAGCTTGTCACACGGGGGCCCCTGGACCGCGAGGCGGTGGCCGAGTATAACATCAGCATCACAGCCACGGACCGGGGCGCTCCCCGGCTCGCCTCGGAGAGGGTGATCCGCGTGCAGCTGTCGGATGTCAATGACAACCCGCCGGTGTTTACCGAGCCGTCCTACGTCATGTACCTGAAGGAGAACAACCTCCCGGGGCTCTTGATCGGCTCTGTCCACGCTGCGGACCTGGACACCGAGCAGAATGCCAAAGTGACGTACTCGGCGTTGCCTGGCGACGTGGGCGACCTCCCCTTCTCCTCCTACGTCTCCATAAACTCCGACAGCGGCCACGTGTACGCGCTGCGATCCATGGATTATGAGCGAACGAGGGATTTCGAGGTGCGGGTGCGCGCTGCGGATGGCGGGTCCCCCCCGCTGAGCTCTGAAGCCACCGTCCGGGTTGTGATCTTGGACGAAAACGACAACGCGCCCTTCCTGTTATACCCTCTGCAGAACAGCAGCTCCCCCGCCAGTGAGCTGGTGCCCCGCTCGGCGGGGCCGGGTTACCTGGTGACGAAGGTGGTGGCCGTGGACGGAGACTCGGGCCAGAATTCTTGGCTTTCCTACCAGCTGCTGAGAGCCACGGACCCCGGTCTCTTCACGGTCGGTCTCCAGAGCGGGGAAGTGAGAACCAGCAGGCCGGTAACGAGCCCGGACTCTGTGAAACAGAAACTGCTCGTGCTGGTGAGAGACAACGGCGACCCGCCCAGATCCACCACCTCCACGCTGAACGTGCTCCTGGTGGACGGGTTTTCGGAGGCCCACCTGCAGCTCGTGGATGTGCCCCAAGAGGAGGGGCAGCAGGACACGTTAACCCTGTATCTCGTCATTGCTTTGTCTTGCATTTCGTTCCTTTTCCTGCTGTCCGTGGTGACAGTGATCGCCACCCGGCTGTACAAGGCGAGGCAGGGCCAAGAGCGGTACATGGCATCGTCCAGGAACTTCTATTGTGAGCCCAGCTTCCCCACAAACCCCGCGGACACGAGTGGCGCCGGGACTCTGCCTCAGTCTTATTGTTACGAGGTTTGCTTGACCACGGGCTCTGGCACCAGCGAATTTAAGTATCTTCGGCCGCTGCTACCGACCGTGCCCGCTGAGCCCAGCGCTGCAGGAGGCTCCGTTCTGGACTCTCAGGTTAGTTCCCAGCTAAAGGAGGAAAAGGAATCTCGGAGAGAGGTGAGTGCTCATGGTACTTTATTCGCGTCAATACCTACTTTGAATGTTCGTATTTGTGATGCTCTGGAAACCGTTTCAAAGGGAATCAGAACCATTCATGTGGATGCTACTTTCTGGTACTGGGACTACAGCCTTCTGCAAGGAGTGTCAGTGGTTGCCGCGTAAATGCACGAGAGGGTGCTGTGTGGAACAGATGATTGTGTGTGTGTGCAAGGAGCGGCATCTCACTGCCTCATCGTGGGTTCTTAGGCTCCTGTCTGAAATTAGAGAACATGGCAGCTCATTCTTCCCCAACAAACGCGCACACAGCCTGTCCCGCACAGAAATTCCTTTCTATACATTCTCTTCCACTTGCCCCTGTTACATATACTTCTGTTGAAGACGGGTTGCAATCTGATAGGATACTAGTCGACAGATGGGGTTGAGAAACCCGCATTGTGTCACTGTACCTGCTCCCTGCCGCATTGCAAACCATTTCCAAAGCACCCCTGCAGCCAGTAGCACAGTGGAATGGCTCCCTCTTCTTCCTGCACTTCTCTGTGTGTCCAAGTAAGGGTTCTTAGTGTGGGTGTGTTCTGCTGGTAGTAGGAGCCTAGTGTGCACATGGAATATCAGTTTACTTAAAGCATCCTGACTTTTTTTCACAAAACTTTGTTGTGTATAGAAGACCAAAGATTATTTCCATGAATGTCTAGCAATATTTACGCAGGGATCTTTCTCACTTGTATGATGTTCAAGCTAATAAATCTGTATTTAAGAAGTGTTCTTTATGTATTCCCATACTATTTTCTCTTCTGAAAGACCATTCTCAGTCTGTGATATTAACCTCTATTAATTTCCTCTATTATTTCCTCTTTGCAAAGGAAAGTTGAACCTTCTCAATGGAAAATCAAAGAGGTAATTGGGGGTTGTGTTTTTTTTCATTAACTCAGTATCCAGGGAACTATGTGACTTTATTAGAGTCTTCTGCAGAACAGTCTATGGAATCCACAATGTTACAAGGTTTCTGAGTTTGTCCTTCTTGAGTAGTGTTTTCTGTTGCCAATGGGTGTGTCTGCGCTGCACCTGTAGCTCCAAATTAGCTACGCAATTTGAGCTATGCAAATTGGGTACCTTAATTCGAGAGTATTTCAAAACAGATTATTTTGTAAATTAGCACTGTCTGCACAGTGCCAAATTTTGAAATAGAGCACTATTCCAAAACATCCCTTAATCCTTATGGAATGATGTTTATATGGATGTGGGAATAGTGAGCCCATTATTTTGAAAGCTATTGTTTAAAGATGCAGAATAGTTATATTGGGAAACCATAAGTCTCCCAAAATAACAGCAGTGTATACATACTCTGGCAGGGCTACTGTGTGATTGTCAATCAAGGGAGGTCAGGAAACATTAAAGTAAATAGAAGTGTTTAACAAATATGTAAAATGCACTTTATTGGTATGTCTACACTATGGTGGAATTAAGATACACACCTTAACTCGATTTTTGGCATTGTTCACACTATACGAAGTTGAAGGAAGAACACTCTCCCTTCGACTTCCATTACTTCTCCTGGTAGCAGGATTTCTGGCATCCATGAGAGTTCCCCTTTCAGCTCGAATTAGCGTGTCCTCGCTATACTTCTAGATTGAACCCTGGAAGATTGACAGTGACAGCCTTGATATTCTCTGTAGTGTAGGCATACCTCTGTAGTGTAGGCATACTCTGTAGTGTAGGCATGTCCATTAAAGCCTTTGAAATGTGAGAAGCTAGTAGTGGCTGAGATATCAATGGGGAGGAGATACTCGTACAAAGGAGAAGCAATGTTTACTTAACTCATAAACTCATCACCTTTCACAGCTTCTGTAGTTTATGAACTCATAGCAATTGACATGTACGAGAAATACGACTATTACAGGTATATCAGTTCAGTGATAAAGTGGCAGCCGATAGCATGAAAAGGATTTTTGCATGGAGCAAGTGATTGTCTAAGATGCTATTTGATTAAAATGACAGCGACCCCTTCATTTTGTACCATCTTCAGAACATCACCTCTCAATTTAACAACCTTCTCCGCAGAGCAAAGAAACCCGAATAACTTGTGATCAAAGTGGTGGCTACAAATGGATATTCTGGTCAGAATTCCTGGCTTTCCGACTAAGTGTTGAAGGCCAGTGATTTAGATCTGGTCACTGGTGGACTGAAAATAGGAAGAATAACCATGTGTGACATAGTGGGGGTACCTGGCTGGTTTCTCTGCGGCTGGCTCTGGGGTAACCCCCACTGGCTGTCTGGGGACCACGACCCAGCAAAACAGGATGAGTCACTATGCAAACCAGTGGCCAGACACCCCCCATGGAGAGGAACAAAAGAAGGTGGAATGCTGCCCTGGCTGGGGGGCAGGGCTGGAAGTTAGTTAGTTGGTTGCTGGCTGTCTGAGAACATGGAGGAGAGCCTAGGGGAAGGGGCTGGAGTTTAGGGGCCCAGTCTCCCCCATCTCAAGGGGGCCTGAGGCAACCTAGCCCAGCTCTGTGACCAGATTACATCTGTGCTGTGCTGTATCCTGGAGAGGCAATAAACTTCCTCTATTCCACCGGCTGGTGCAGTCTGTTTGTGCCACTTCGGGGTGCAGGAGACGGGGGACCCCAATGCGCCGTCACACCATGATACCAAGTAGAGTGCAAGATTCTTTTAAGCAAAACCTAACTATTGTTAAAGACAATGGTCATTGTCCCGATCGCTAAGGATACTACATTTACAGTGATTGTGCGGCTTTTTAGATGCACGTATGCCAGGGACGGGCAACCTGCAGCCCGAGAGCCACGTTCAGCCCATAAAGGTTCTCTTGTGGTCCATGAGACATTGTGTTTACTGTTGCCCATTTCTTGCCAGATTCCGATGCTTTCCTTACGCCTGGTTTTTTCCTTACTGGTATTGCTAAGGTGACATGCACATAAAGCAAGGGCAGGTGAAGTGCGGTGTGTGATGCACACAACACTGACTGTGGGAGCTTTTGGCTGCCTCTATATTCAGTCTGAACAGTTAGCATACCCTGCAAACCCTAGATATAGAAGCGCAGTTGGAAAACCTACCCTATGGGATTGTGACAAACTTGTGGCCCACTGAATGAAGGAGGTCCACTTAGGGGCCCACTCACTAGTGTAGGTGGCCCATGGCTGACGTATGCAATTCAGTGACATAACTATGAAAGAGGAAAGAGCTGGGTGATTAAATATGTTCTTAGTAATTTCTTAGTCTTACATTTAATTGGGATTTTTGCTTGTTTCTCTTTAGCCCCTATTCCCATAAATTACATAAAATAGGAAAATAGAGAGAAAATTACTGTTTTGCTTCTTTCAGTTGCCATGCTGGGAAACCCAGTTATTCAAGTAACTGTACTGGCGGGGACTGGATCTCTTTTCCACAACTAGTTAGTTATACGATGTTAGTTTAACCCTGGGTCTCTCACCTCTACTTTATGAGCCCTCAGTTTCCCAGTTTTCCTTTTGTACACCCTAATAAGCAAGGGAAATGTGGGACTTAGATTTTGCTTCTTTCAGTTGCCATGCTGGGAAACCCAGTTATTCAAGTAACTGTACTGGCGGGGACTGGATCTCTTTTCCACAACTAGTTAGTTATACGATGTTAGTTTAACCCTGGGTCTCTCACCTCTACTTTATGAGCCCTCAGTTTCCCAGTTTTCCTTTTGTACACCCTAATAAGCAAGGGAAATGTGGGACTTAGATCTTTCTAGGCTATCGCTGATCTCCAGGATAAAGAAAAGCAGTGGCTTGGCGGGGGAGGGGGGTGGGCGG